CTCTCTCTCTCTCTCTCTCTCTCTCTGTTCCTGACCTTTTCTATTCAACGGACGTGATTGCAGCTTGCATATTTCACGAGACTAACCTCGGAGAGCGCGTGTGGCTCTTCGTCTCTATCCATCCATTCATCCATCCATCCATCCATCCATCCGTTCGTCTGTCCATCCAACAACAGACGTTGCAGCCGTCTGTTCGCCGACACGATCTAACCTTGTGCACTTTTCGTCGAGTCGCCCAACATTTACACCTTCGCGCGCACCCTCTTTTCAATGCTTTCGTTTTGGTATTGGTGTGCGTGTATGAGTGAATTTGAAAAGTGGAGATTGGAAATCTACACGCCGATTAGGTTGTTGTAGTCGACGCGTTTGTCCGAACCTAATTTCGGACAAACGGAACGTTGAACTGAAGCATTGAACAGTAAGGTTGTTTCGGACTGTTTTAGGCTGGATGAACTTTTAGATGGAACCACGGAATGGAGAATGGAGAATCGGTCGATTTTCTTTCCGCATTCGACTCTTTTTGTTGGACGCGAGGCAGCGTATGGCGATACCCGTGTCCAGGTAAATAACAACACACTCGCTCGTTTATCATAAGCGAGAGATTGGTTGGAAGCGAGAGATTCGAGGAAAGAGAAAAGAGGCGTTGTTTAAACAACGCCGAGTGCCAAGTTTAGTCCTTTAGCTTCAGAATGAAAAGAATGCGACGCGTTGAAATCGATCACGCCCGTCGCGTGACGTGAAAACGAGAGGACGCTTTTCCGACGTTTCTTCGACGCTTTCTACCCGACCAACAAATTACACCTTTTCGCTCGAAAACACGAAACTTGGCTAGTGTTGTTTCGCGGAGCAAAATATCATAATGACGGAGCTTTCACGCGGCGCATAGTTTCATAAATACCGTAATTTGGGATATGCAGGTTTTCACCGAAGCTCCATTCACGTGACACGCGTCCCGTTTAATGGATCGTGCTCTCCCCTCTCGCGATGTAATACGCGATATCCTATCTCTTCTTTTCTCTCTCTCTCTCTCTCTCTCTCTCTCTCTCTCTCTCTCTTTCCTCCGTATAAAAGTCTATCGATTCATTTTTTGGGATGGATACTTTTGTTTCCACGCGACGTCGAAAGTTATTCTGAAACACATCGTTCTTCATTCAATTGGTATGAGAAATTGAAAACAGAGAGTTGAACGAAGGAAAGATTAGTTTAGAGTAAGTAGGGAAAGTAGAGAAATGAAAATGAAACGTACACGGACGGTTGATTGTGGAAGCGTAACGAATACGGGGAGGCGATAATCGATGCTTTCATTCTCGGCAAACGAATAAAATCTCTCGATATCGTCGCCCTATATCCGATGGTAATCCAGTGGAGGCTGTCACGCGAAAACACGTTTTGCATGGTAAATCGGCGGACCGAATAACCGAGAGA